GAGACCTGGGAAGTGGGGTTGCCCCAGGAGAGGGCAGGGAGGACCTGAGAACCAAGGACAAGAAAACACTCGGGTCTCGGAGAACACAGGACCCAGAACGGCAACCGGGCAAGGATGGGGGTGGGGAGGGGCTGTCCCAACAGCCGAGAGCCCCAGGCACTTCCCGGGGGTGGGGCCTGGTGACCGGGGTCTGGCACTGCAGGGTGGTGCTGGGACTGGGGAGACGGAGGGAGGTGGGAGCCACCGGAGGGGACGCAGTGGCCTAGGGGTGATGAGAACAGGGGTTGGGGCTGGGATGCAGGATGGAGTCACCTGGACACACAGTCAGGAGGGCGGGAGGGGGCGGCGGAGTGCGCGGGGCACGGGGGGTCACAGGGCAGGTGGCGGGCAGCCCTGAGTCAGGGACATTTAACCCTCCAGCCTGGCTCCCACACGAACCCTTGGGGAACTCCCCTCTCAACCCCAGACACAAGTCCTTCCTGCCTGGTCGGCCCCAACGCCCTTAGGGACCCGAGGCAGAAGGTGAGAGGGCAGTGAGGTCCAGGCTGTCTGGGCGTCAGGGCTCCCCTCACCCCCGTCCCCTCCTCAGGGTCCTCCCCGTGGACTTCAGGGCTCACCTGGGGTCCCTCCTCCTTCAGGAAGCCCTCCCAGACCTTCCCAGCCACAAAAATCTCAAAATTAGGAGAACGTGACGGGGAGCCCAGCTCCTAAGGACAGAGGTGCTGAGAGGAGTCCCTGGGGGTGGGCCCGGCCCTGCCCTGCCCGCGGGGGGAGCCCCTAGTTAGAGGAGCAGGGGGCTCGAGGGGTTGGCGTGACTGGAGGCGCAGGGGTGAGCGTGCCTCCGCCATGAATCATTGTGAGGGATGCCAACGGACTGACGGAGAAAGGCCCGTCCACTGGGAGTGTGTGCCGAGTGCGCCCGGGCACCCGCCTCGCTCAGCGGATGCTCTGAGGCCACTGTCACCCGGTTGACAGGGAGTGACTGAGGCACAGGAGGCTGAACCAGGCCACAGGCCCCTACGTGGCCCGCGGGGACGCAGGTCCAGGCCGTGCTTGGCGGGCTCTGCTGTCCCCTCCTGACCTCGTCTGCAGGCTCACAGGGCCTGGTGTGGGAAGGGGAGGCTGGGGGCCAGGCCTGGGAGATCGGGGTGCCGGGCCCAGCTCTCGGAGGCAGGGCTGCCCTGCCCCAGCCCGGTGACCCTCTCCCAGCGGGGGGCTCAGGGGGGCAGCAGGGAGCTGTGATCTGAGAGGCTTTGGGGGGGGTTGGAGGTTGGGGCAGCGCCCCGCAGTCCTCCCCGCCCCCCTGTGCCCCACATCTGACACCCACCTGCCCTCCCCCCGCAGGTAGCCCGGGTGCGGGGAGCACCGCTTGCGGGGTCTGAACTTACCTTCCAGGAGCCCGAGTGGCGTCCGCTGTGAAAGCCGCCTCACGTGGGTGCCAGGCACTT